CCCCAAAACCCCAAAACCCCAAAACCCCTTTTAGCATCAGAATAATTGAAAGACTAATTCTCTTTGCTATTACATTCTTAAAATTTTCATATCATTTCTAAATTTTGACGCCAATTTCGTAAATTCAAGATTCAATACAAGTTTATACGAAAGGAACACTAGGAGCACCCTCTTGGTACAAGATTTCTAAATTGTACTTCTTCCCTGGTGTATCTTCCTCGAGGGCTGCTACTATAGCCTCCATATTTTCTTCTCCTGCACTTGTCTTGCCAAATGAATGAAGCTTTAAAGCAATAGATACAGTATCATTGATCAATCTTGGGATTATCTTCTTCTGTGTTGATGTATCAGTGAAAAGAGCTGGATTAATATTAATCTCAATCAAGTAAGGATTAAGGTCTTCATCAAGCATGAAGTCCCATCCAAGTAGTTCGAATCATCCAAAGGTCTTATCCAGGTTATCCTTGACCTGCAGGAAAATAATTCTCATGATCTCTTTCATCTTGTTAATAACTCTATTTTGGAATTCTTCTTCAGAAAAGCCCTTCTCAACAAGATACTCTTTCAAAGTCTGCATATCGATAATTGTTTCTTCTTTTCTGGTCTTATACTCGGGATGCTTCTTCTGAACAGAATTATTCGTCATGTGGGTAATCTTTCCCTCTTTTGTGTTGAAATCATCCAAAGTGTAATCATTCAGAGAGATTCTACAATATCCTTCGTTGAAAGTGACAAGGTAAGGCTTTGTACAATTGATGACCATATAGCTTCTAATATCAAACTTCTTTCCTTTGTAAAGACATGGCTTGCTTTCATATTTCTGAATAATCACATTCTTTAGCTCCTTTACTAATGAACGGATATTCTTGATCTTTCTTTTGGATTCAGATTGGTCAATATCTAAGTCTTCAGTTGAAGGTTTGATTTCTTGTACTTTCTCTTCCTCCTTTGTTTCTTCAGTATCAATACCCATTTCCTTCATCTTTTGAAGTAAAATATCTGTAGAATTATCAGCTTCTACAGGAGTTTCTATTTCTGGCTTTTCTACCTTAGCTTCTTGGATCACAAGATCATCTTTATATTGCTTGACATCTTGAATCAATGTTATTCCTCTTCCACAATTAGAGTTTTTCTTTTTAAGCAACCAATATCCTTCATCTGGTTGATTCAAGAACTTCACTAAGTCTGGAGCATGACCCAACTTGTAAGTTTCTGGGAAGAAATTTTCAGGTTTGAATGAAGTCTCAATATCGCCATTCTTTACACTATATCCAAGGTTCTCAATGGTTTCCATGGTTGTTACTTTGTTTGTAAAAATCCAGCAGTTTGAAATATGATTGACTATATGTTTTCCTTCTAGAGTTCTCATGAAGTTCACCTCTTGAGGAGTCTGAACCCACTTAAATCTGTATTTATCACTCCAGTCCATCCCTTTAGGAAGTTGGCTAAGCCCATTTTCAATGAGAGCGTCCTTAACAACAGCGTTGTTGTTACCTCTACCAACAAAGAAGCTAGTATTATCTTCTTCTTTCTCTTCCTCACCTTCGCCTTCCATTCCTGGCCCTTCAAGATCAGCTTCAGTACATTCTTCTTCATCTGTAAAGATGGACTTCTTATTGGGATGCCATAGCAAGGTTGAGCTCTTCCATGAATGAATATCACACCAACTTCTGCAGACGCCTTCCAGCCAGGTATCTATTGACTTATAATGGAACTGAATTGAGTGATAAGAGGTTGATTTGAACTTGTAAGAGTCGAATAGCTGTACTACTCCTTTCTGCCATCTTGCGCCAATAGACTGCTCTCCAGTCTCACCTCCCATGAAGATCTCTACATGGACCATATTGTGTTTCTGCTTTTTCTTCTTATCACTGAAGTAAATTGCAGAGTAGAATACAAGATCACCAGGTTTCATCTCTTCTTCCTTCAAATCAATTGGAAGAGTATCATACTGATACCCTTGGTTCCATCTATCTAAGAAGAACCCAAGGTCTTCTCTCATATCGTACACTACTTGTCTGACCAAAGCACAGCAGTCAAGGAATAGTGGAGAGTCATAAAGCTTGTCTCCTGGTTTATGGTATCTTTTAGCATAAGGAACTCCGTAGTACTTCTTAGCAGTTTCGACGAATTTCTGCCTCAGCATTTCCTTGTTCCTTCCAGGATTAGAGTTCTTCTTAGTTAAGTATTGCTTGTACTTAATTTGCTCGCTTCTCTTCTTCTTGAATCTTTGGAAATGATCTTGAAGAGACTTTTTCCCCTTAGTCTTCTTCGAAGCAAAAGGGGTCATTACTAATTCTTCGTTCGGGTCACTATCACGTCAGAGTTTCAATCTTACCTTTCTTTTGGAGCTGATTCTTGGTTCACAAGAGAGTCAGACTTCAATGGCTGTCCATTCTTTTCTACCTAAAGAATATATAAGAGACTAGGATAATCAATATAATGTAAATGAAATTTCTTCTAGAAGTCAGAACAGCTTTAAGAAGAACTCTAACTATACTTTCTGAAACAGTTAGAATCGAAAGTACTTAAAATTTGGATCTATTCACTTACAGTACTAGTGATTTCAGTTCCTTTAGGAGCCTCAATGGTAATATTCTCTTTATCCGCCTCTTCCTTTCAATTTTCCATAAGAATTTTTAAATTATGAATTTTAATTCTTCAGTTTGAATATTCTTATAAGGGGTTTTGGGGTTTTGGGGTTTTGGGGTTTTGGGGTTTTGGGGTTTTGGGG